GCAACCTCAAACTCTTGGGCTTAAGTGATTCTCTTGCCTCAGCCTCCCAAGTAGCTGGGACTACAGGCACCCACCACAATGCCTGGCTATTTCTGTTGTTATTGCAGTTATTGTTTTTTAGCTGGCCTGGGGTTCAAACCCACCAGTCTCTGTGTATGTGGCTGGTGCCCTATCCATTGAACCACGGGCACTGCCCTATTTAATAGTTTTTAAAGGAAATTATATTTTTAGGCCAGGCATGGTGGCTTACACTTGTAGTCTTAGCACTCTAGGAGGCCAAGGTGGGTGGATTGCCTGAGCTCCTGGTTTCGAGACCAGCCTGAGCCAGAGCCAGACTTTGTCTGTAAAAACATCCAGGCATTGTGGCTGGTGTGTATTGTCCTAGATACTTGGGAGGTTGAGGCAAGAGAATCACTTGAGCCCAAGAGGTTGAGGTTGCTGTGAGCTGTGATGCCACAGCATTCTATCGAGGGTGACAAAATGAGACTCTGTCTCAAAAAAAGAAAGAAATTGTATTTTCAGGAATTTGGAAATAGCTTTCCCTGTCTTCAACGTGAGAACTGACAGTGGGGCGGCACCTGTGGCTCAGTGGGTAGGGCGCCGATATACTGAGGGTGGCAGGTTCAAACCCGGCCCCAGCCAAACTGCAACAAAAAAATAGCCGGTGTTGTGGTGGGTGCCTGTAGTCACAGCTACTCGGGAAGCTGAGGCAAGAGAATCACCTAAGCCCAGGAGTTGGAGGTTTCTGTGAGCTGTGTGACGCCACGGCACTCTACCGAGGGCGATAAAGTAAAACCTGACAGTGCTTCATCAGTCCGTCCAATGCCAAGTTTGGTGCTCTGGGGAAGATGCAGGAACACCTAAGTTTTATTTTTTTTTTTATTTTTATTTACTTATTTATTTTTTTATTGTTTGAGATTTATTAAAAGTACAAAGAATTAGCTTACACTGATTGCATTTGTTACGTAAAGTCCCTCTTACAGTTGGGTCCTGCCCGAGAGAGGTGTGTCATACTCTGTGATCCCCCCACTTCATTCTCCCCTCTCCCTGCTCTCTCAATCCCCTACCCTCCACCTTGTATTAGCTCATCTACTGCCTTCACATTAGAATTGAGTACCTTGGATTCTTGCTTCTCCATTCTTGTGATGCTTTACAGAGAAGAATGTGTTCCACCTTAATCCAGATTAATACAAAAGATGTAAAGTCTCCATCTCTTTTAATGGCTGAATAGTATTCCGTAGTATACATATACCACAGTTTATTAATCCATTCCTGGGTTGGTGGGATTTAGGTTGTTTCCACATTTTTGCGATTGTAAATTGAGCTGTGACAAATAGTCTAGTGCAAATGTCCTTATGATAAAAGGATTTTTTTTTCTTCTGGGTAGACACCTGTGGTTTTTATCTCTTGCTGAGAGTGTGATCTGGAAGGAGCTCCTAAAATGAATACAATAGGAAGAATTTTCATAATGTGTCAGGCCCTCTTCTGAGGTGGCAGTTCTAATAACCCAAAATGTATAGACAAAGAAACCAAGGCACGGAGCTTCCCCCAATTCACATAACCAATCTGACAACACATTTCTTTCTTTGTGTATATTGGAGCAGCTGTGCTACACAGACAAAGTATTGTTTGATACCTGAATCAAAGTATTGTTTCACCTGAAGGGGAAAAAGGAGGTTGAGTGGTACTTAATCCTCTTAGGGACATCTCAGGAAGATGGTACTCAGGCCCCTTGGGTATAGGAATGCTATTATAATAGAGCCTTAACAACTATTTCCAGGTGAAGGAATGGTTAATTTATTCTAAGAGTTAGTTAACTCACGATTTTGTAGAATCTTATAGGGCCTTTCCCTTTGTAAGGATTTGAATTCCATGTTGATTTTCTTTTCTCTACTAACTCAAAGTTTGACCTATTTATTCTGAATTTTTACCCTCCCCATCCTTTTGTATAGCTGAAAATTCAGGTGGCTGCAAAGACTATTTTTGAAGGCTTCACAGAGGGTGAGCTCACATTCCAGCCTACCTATAAGTATGATACCGGCTCTGACAACTGGGATACCAGGTAAGTCAGAGTTTGCTTCAAAGGATTGAGCAAATGGGAACTCAGAAATCCTGGGAAGCACTTGTCCTTATGGATTTGTAGAAAATCCATAGAAAAATTAAAGATTAAAGAGAAAATACATTTTTTTGTGACTTTCCCCCCATGTTTTATATTCAATTAAGCAGTTTTGCCTCGGCACGTGTTTTCTTTTGACTGCCTTAGCCTTTGTTTCATAATAATTTTTTTTTTTTTTTTTGAAACAACAGAGTTCTGCTCTGTTGCCTGGGGTGGAGTACAGTGGTGTAATGATAGTTCACTGCAGCCCTGAACTCCTGAGTTCAAGCAATCCACCCACGTCAGCCTCCTGAGTAACTAGGACTACAGGTGCAAGCCACAATGCCTGCTAACATAATAATTTTTGATATTAATTTACTTTTTAACTATGCCTAGGGGAGATGATTCCAACTAACTTAGCATATGCTTTTTTTTACATAGCAGTTAATTGTTTTTATTAGTGGTTACCACGTACTACTTGATAAACTTTACCTGTATTTTCTCATTTAATACCCTCAACAACTCATTAAGTATGATTTATTCTCATTTTATTTGACTGGGGACCAAGACATAGAAAAATTAAAGATTTCCCCAAGCAGGCAAGTGATAGAGGCAGAATTTGAACCTAGGAAGTGGGAATACAGAACCTGTTCTCTTAACTACCATCTTTTAATTTTTTCTTTTTATTTTTTAAACATATTTTTTTTTTGAGACAGAATCTCACTCTGTTACCTTGAGTAGAGTGGGGGCATCATAGCTCACAGAAACGTTAATCACCTAGGCTTGAGCAGTCTTCTTGCTCAGCCTCCTGAGTAGCTGGGATTACAAGAGTGTCACTATGCCGGGCTAGTTGTTCTATTTTTAGTAGAGATGGGGTCTCACTCTTGCTTAGGCTGGTCTCAAACTCCTGACCTCAAGCAATCACCTACCCCAGCCTCCCAGAGTGCTGATTACAGGTGTGAGCCACCAAGCTCGGCCTTTTTATTTTTTAACTATTTTAGAAACAGAGGCTTACTGTATTCCCCAGGCTAGCCTTGAACTCCTAAGCTCTTGCCTTAGCCTCTAAAGTAACTGGGACTGTGTGCCACCATAGCCTGCAACCACCATCTCCTAAGGACCACAGAGTGCTTACTCTCAGATGGCCTTTTTTTTACTCCTAATCCTCATAGCGGGGTAAAGAGCAGAGAATCATTCTGAACCGTGTTTTGGCTTTGAGCTTTTCTAGTTGTTTTGCATGATACTCAGAGGATATATATCTGTTGGTGGGATATCATATATGGTGAGGGTGGTGGGCCCAGACTGCTGTTCCAGGTGACCAGGCTGCATGGACATGAAGGTTCTGGTTCATCATTCTCCGCCCACAGCAGGGTACTAGCCAGGCAGCAGGCACTGCTGTTTCTGTCAGCACACCCAGTGTGGACTTTGCATTTCAGTGAGAAGTGTCGTGCTCCTGCCTGGTGTGACCGGATCCTCTGGAAAGGGAACAACATCAATCAGCTGAGTTACCAGAGCCACATGGCCCTGAAGACCAGTGACCACAAGCCCGTCAGCTCAGTGTTTGACATTGGGGTAGGTGGGCAGCGGGTACCTGTTGTCATCCTTCTGTAGGGAATTGGTTCTCACAACCAAGAACATATCTTTTTTTTTTTTTTCATTTTGTTACCCTTGGTGTAACAAAAGAGTGTCATGTGTCATAGCTCACAGCAACCTCAAATACTTGGGCTCAAGCAATTCTCTTGCCTCAGCCTCCTGAGTAGCTGGGATTACAGGCACTCGCCACAATACCCGGCTATTTTTAGAGACAGGGTCTGATTCTTGCTCAGGCTGGTCTCAAACCCCTGAGCTCAAGTAATCCACCCGCCTCAGCCTCCCAGAGTGCTGGGATTACAGGCGTGAGGGGCCTGGCCTCAAGAACCTGTCTGGCCTTTCTAGTTTCCTCTTCTCTCCTTGAGTGTGAGGAAGCTCCTTTTTTTCTTTTTTTTTGTGAGGCGGAGCCTCAAGCTGTCCCCCTGGGTAGAGTGCCATGGCATCACGCTCACAGCAACCTCCAACTCCTGGGCTCAAGCGAGTCTCCTGCCT